GGAGAAAAGCTGAAAGCCTTTCCCTTGAGATCAGGAACAAGACAAGGGTGTCCACTATTGCCCCACTGCTCTTTAACATAACATTGGAAGTTCTAGCCCGAGCAATAAGACAGAAAAAAGACATACAAGGAGTCCAGATAGGGAGGGACGAAGTAAAACTGTCCTTATTTACAGATGATATGTTAATCTACGTGGAAACCTAAAAACTCCACAAAGAACTAATCAAAACCATCAACCAGTTTAGCAAGGTAGCAGGCAGGATATAAAGTCAACACACAAAAGTTAGAGGTCTTCCTATACACAAACAACCAATGAGAAGAAACAGAAATTAAAAAAAAATCCCCTTTTCAATTAAAACAAAAAGAATCAAATACCTAGGAATCAACCTCACAAAAAGAGGTAAAAGACCTATACAAAGAAAATTACAAAACACTGTTAAAAGAAATTCAAGAAGACACCATGAAATGGAAAGACATCCCCTGCTCATGGATCGCGAGAATTAACATCATTAAAATGGCCATTCTGCCAAAAGCGATATACAGATTTAACACCATCCCAATAAAAGTCTCAATGACATTCTTCAAAGAAATAGAAAAAATATTGATGAGACTCATATGGAACAACGGAAGACCTTGAATAGCCAACACTCTCATGCTAGGAAGAAAGAGAATGGAGGCATTACAATCCCAAACTTCAAGCTATACTACAAAACCATTATAATCTAAACTGCATGGTACTGGAACAAGAACAGATATATAGGCCAATGGATTCGAATAGAAAACCCAGATATAAATCCACAAGTTTATGGCCAGCTAATCTTTGATAAAGGAGCAAAGAAGATACAATGGAACAAAAAAAGTTTGTTCAGCAAATGGTGCTGGGACAACTGGGAAGCTACATGCAAAAAAATGAAACTAGATCACTGCCTCACTCCAGTCACAAAAATCAACTCAAAGTGGATTAAATACCTAGACATAAGAATGGAAACCATAAAATACCTGGAAGGAAAGATGGGCCAAACACTATACGACATACACTTCAGCAACATCTTTAAAGATAGACCACCCTGTGCCACCATAGTGAAGGCAAGGATAAATAGATGGGACTACATCAAGCTAAAGAGCTTCTGAGCAGCAAAAGAGACATTATAAAAAACAAACAGACATCCCACTGATTGGGAAAAAAATTTTCTTGCACAAAACTAGAGATGAAGGATTGATCACAACCCCGTCAAAAAATGGGCAGAAGAGCTAAAAAGACACTTCTCCAAAGAGGAAATGCAGATGGCTAACACGCATATTAAAAAATGTTCAACATCACTTGTAATAATTAAAACCACAATGAGATACCACCTCATCCCAGTGAGAATGGCACATCTTCAAACAACTAGCAACAACAAATGTTGGCAAGGATGTAGAGAAAAAGGAACTCTCCTGCACTGCTGGTGGGAATGCAAATGAGTACAACTACTATGGAAAACTGTTTGGAGGTTCCTCAACTGCTAAACATGGAGCTTCCCTATGACCCAGCAATCCCACTCCTAGGTATCTACCCAAAGGACACAAAAACACTGATTGAAAAGATACCTGTACCCCCATGTTTATTGCTCCTTTATTCACAATTGGAAAGACATGGAAACAGCCCAAATGCCCAAAAATGGATGACTGGATTAAAAAGATGTGGTACATATACACAATGGAATATTACTCGGCAAACAAAAAACAAAAACTCAAACACATGTCTTTTGCAGCAACATGGATGGAGCTGGAAAAAATCATGCTTAGTGAAATAAGCCAGAAAGAAAAGGAAAAATACCGGATGGTTTCGCTCATAGCAAGAGCATAAATGAGCGGGGGGTAAATAATAAAAATGAACAACTATATACCAGAGACATTTTATGGGGATGGAGTGGGGAATGGGATCAAAAACAGTGGGGAGAGGGAAATGCCCTGGACTATGGTGATGACACATAGGTGATTTGGTAATGGGAAGCCCATGGGGATTGCAAATGAGATGGAAAAATGTGCGAAATGATGTAAAAAGAAACTGTTATATATATATAAAAAAATAGAAATGTCATTGTTCCATAAGATAAGAGATGGGCCAGGACTACAGGATATTAGAACCATGAAACAGAAATCACACAACCCTTTTTCCTGGCTTCACCTGCATTCCTGGCAGCTCTATAGACGACAACATGGTTTAGGAGAAAAATGGCTTCTCAATTAATGCTGCCAATACTCCCCTGAGCACGTGGGTTTGGAATCTTAGCAAAAGTGGAAATGGAATCATCACCCCATGGAGACAAGGTTGGAATGAGAGGTGGCCTGGAATTTAGTCAACAGGAAAAGGGGTGTTTTCTGCACAGGCTGTGTGGGGCAATGGAAAAACTGCAGGACTCATTCAGACAGGCCAGTTGTGAAAAAATCAGGACAGAGCTGTCTTTGAAGGTTAAATTAATCACCATATGGCCTTGAGAAAGTTACTCCACTTTTCTGAACCCCCATTTCCTTTCCTGTAAAGTGGAAATAGACAAGATGAGCTAAGGTATCATCACTTAAATTTTCTGCCTTAAATCATGCCTTTCCCACTTGATCAACCTTGTGATTTTGAACAAGTTACTTAGATCGTGAAGGTTCTTTTCTATAAAATGGGCATAATAATTTTCTGTCTTTTACCTTGAAATATTCAATGTGAGGATTAAATGAGAAAATGGAAGTGAAAATGTTTTGTCATTTCTAAAAATCCTGAGATGGGTGTCATACAGTGATTAGAGAATGCACAGCATTTTTGAACTGATGTGGATCATTAGAAAGTTATATTCTATCCGTCAATGATCTGTGTTAGGGATAATAGAGTAACAGTCATACTCTGTGATGTACCATGTTAGAAGGCTCAGGATAAGTGGGCCAACCTTTGTCCAAGTTGCATATAGCATACAACACCAAAGAAGTGGAAGCAGTGAAGAAAGCAGATGCACCGTGAGCATCTAGGCACGTGTAAGTAGTCCCAGACCAGGGCCTATTGGTCCACAGGAGGGAGGCATTGAAAAACGGGAAAGGGCCTTTAAAAGCCTTTAAAGAAACTTTACATTGCTGCAACACCAATACCTTATGTTTTAAAGATTTCGTTTGTCCATTAATTTACTTTTATTGTATTTTCCTAAAATACGGGTTACCCGAACTTCAGAAAATAATAGACCTTCAGCATAGATTGTGTTTATGTTTCACAAGTGTACTATGGGCTGCTGTTGGTAGTATTGCAGCTGGTGTAGCCAAACACTTTCAGGCAGCAGAAGTTAAAAGTCTTTGAATCAGTCACCTTAATGTTGTTGCTGGCATTTTTTCATTAATCACGTGAGAGGTCTTTTAATTTTTCTCACTGTTTCTTAGTTGAACAGACCCAAGTCTATCAATCTGAAAGTATTGTAGTACGGGAGGAAATATAAATAGATGTTCAGTTAATGGTGATTTCTGCTATTACTGGTCTATGGATCAGAACTAGAGGCAAAGATCTCTGCTGTGGAGAGAGTACTCTTTGACAGAACTTTAAGAATGGGGTATAGGGTTTTTGTTTACCACATGGTTGTACTCTGTCACCCAGTGAAGGCTGTTGATCGCAATGAAACGGCTTAATTTGTCATCATCAATACTTTCAATGTCTTCACTCTCCACATTCAGTCGTTCATTATCCACCTGGGTAGCATCAAAAAAAAAAAAAAAACAAAGAAAGAAAGAAAGAAAGAAAATTATCACTGGTTTGTCTTTATTCAGTTATGAGTAAGTAGTGTTGGATTACCTACCATGTCAGACACAAAAGTAAATAGGAAATGTTCCCTGCCTTTGGAGATTCAGAGAAGTCATGTCCTGTGGGAATCAGAGAAGTAAATAGAACTGTTCTACAGAATATAGCCAAGTGTCACCAAGGGAGTGGTGACACGTAGGGAAGAGCAGAACAGCTTCTGGAAGAGGTAGGTGCTGAGATTGGCTAACACTTATTCAGATGAATGAGGATGGAGAGGGAATTTTAAATGAAGAACTCTATTTGTGAAAGGCTAAAAGAAGAGAAATGTCAGGCCTTGGAAGCTACAGTTAGTTCCTTGTGCCTATAGGAATAGGTCTTAATTGTGGGTAAGAAAAAGACAAGGTCCAGGGTAGGTTGAGACAAACTTCTGAAGGACCTTGAAGTCAAGATAGATTTAACTCTATCCTAAGGGTCAGAGGAACAGTCTCCTGTGTTAGATTTATGTACCCTCTCCATGGGAAATGAAACACACATATAGAGAAAAGCACAAAACAGGAAATGTAAGTCATCACAAACAACTATGGAATCCTCACTTAAGTAAAGAAATAGAATATTCAGAACCCCTGGCACCCTCTCTGTGTCCCTCTAATTAATAATAATTAATAATAATCCATTCTTTTTTTTTGCCAGCAAAAACTGATAATCTGACTTGTATTATGACTATTTTTATCCTTAGTAGCTTTACCAATTAAAGATGCAATTTAAAAATACTATGGTTTATTTTTAGCATTATAAAAAATGGAAACAACTGTTGCTTTTTGTGTCTTTTTCTTATTTCTTCTGCTTAATATTTTATTTATAAGTGTTATCCATGTTATTATATGTAGTTATTGATTCATTTCCTTGCTGCATAATATTCCACACCATGAATATGCAACATACTTACTTATTGTGATGCTTATTTATTTCTAGTTTTTAGTTAAGATAATGTTATAATGATCACTCTGCCCATATCTCATGGTATATATATCTTTGTATCTGTTCAACATATATAAGGGATTAGGGTTTTAATTATAATGTATATGTATCTTCCATGAGCAGAAATAACCAATGTCTGTGAACCTTAGTGTCACCCCTTTGGGATTACTTTGAGGGTAATCTCTTTTTTATGACATATATATATATATATGTATATATATATATACACACACACACACACACATACATATACACTCATGTGTATATACATTCATATATATTCGTGTATATATGCATTCATATATATTCATGAATATATAACATATATATTCATGTATATTCATATTTATATTCATAAATGATCATCCTAACTCAACTTCAGAGTTGAGATTATTTGAATCTGTGCTGCAGCCCATGGGAGGGCTGATATACTTAAGATTTATTCTTGTTTGGGTAGTATTGCTCTTTAGGGCCTAAAGGAGATCAAAGGATGCTTTACTAGAGCTTCTTTCTACTTTCTCTTCCAGTCCCTGGGTTCCAGCATTTATTTTTTTTGTTCCTTGAGTGTCTATAATATTTTAAATGCCTTGTAAAAGCCAAAGGAAGAAAAATCTTCCTACGTGGAGTTTTTACCCCAAGTCAGTGGGGGATGGGGGTTATAAAATGAGCATGGGATCTTTCTTCCTGCTAAGGCCTGCTTTACCAGCTGGCATGTCTACTTTGTACATGAGGCTTTGCTAATTGTGGACATCAAAATCATCATTATTAAAATCACGGTCAAGGCTTTTATAATATTTAATGTCTAAATACTTCCTGATTATTTTTCTAGGAACTCAGAGGCCTGGCAGTGCCCGTGCCTTAGCTAATATCACTGTGTTGTGGCCAGCAGCCTGCTCCCCCTGCTCTTTTCCAGGCAGTCCCTCACATTTCCCAGAACAGGGAGAAAAGACAGGAAACACCAGTTACTCCAGGTGTTTCTGGATTTGAATACGTTGGACGCAGAGGATGTTAAGTGGTGATAACATTCTCTAAAAAGCAAAGAGCTTTTTATAAAATCCACCCTCTTGACATCTCCCCAGTTTGAGGACTTTTTTAAAATGAACATGCCTGTTTATTTCACTATTTCTTAAAGTAATAAATTCTGCAACATTCATGTGTAGGGTTTTGGGAAACAACACTAGAGTAGGAAATACCCCTTAGTAAAGGGAATTATTTGCATAATACCCTGGAGAGAAAATCTTAACCTTGGCAGCAGGAGTTGGGAAAGGATTTTTAATATATTTTTTCAGTTTCATGTTATTTTTCTCCCTAAGAAGACAGGCCCCAGAAGAAGACAAGAAACAGTAAACCAAAAGGGCTGTTGCCTTAAAAAGAGTTTGAAGTTTTCCAAGAGTATCTGAAGTGAGTTATATTTTAGACACTGTATCATACCAACAATCCTTTTCAGCTCAGTAGAATTTTAGCACTAGTCCTTTGAATTCCTATGGACTTCTCTGGGTGCTCATAAAATTTATTAAAGACACCTTACTTTATATCACAGTTTTAGTACTCAATATCTTGGATAGTACTGAGAAATCAATTATTAAACAAATGTCTGTATGTCTCCAAGTTTATTTTACTGGCTGTTTGGCTTACATTGTATTTGATAAATATATTCTTCATATGAATGAACTTAATAATTTGACATACCTTCTTACATTACTTATCAATGTATTTTTATGCACTAGTTCCTCCTGATTCTCTTTGTTTAGTAAGGTTCATTTTTATAATACCTACATAGCAAATAACTGTAACAGGAAGGTAAGGATATCTCTACTGTGCTTCCATTACTATCCTACTGTGACAGAGTTAGTAAATTATATTTCCTAAAATATGTGATTGAGAAAATCCAAAGCAAGATAAACATTTAAATATCTGACATTCCATTTTAGGACAGACTCATGGCTTATTCAACCCTAGATTACATCTCTCTTAGGGCAACAATAAGCCTGTTGGGGAGTGTGGACAAGTCCATGCAGTTACACTCATAAAAGACAAGCTGTAACACACAACAAGCAGACAGATTATCATGTGCAACTTATTATTCCATTTTACATAAAATTTCCCTGATCACTGTTTTTGGAGAGTGTGCTCCATGAGCATTGCTTATTTCTTTGTCTCTTTTTTCTAACATTTCAAGCAACCACTCTAATACTCAGTTCACTATGATTTCATTTTTTTAAAGGTGTATTTATTTATGCATTCAAAACTGGGGTACATGCCAGAGGTGCAGGGGCAGTGAGAGGATTCACCAGAGACAGACTGGGGAGCAGAACAGACAAATCGAAAGAGTACAATGCTGAGGGAGCAGCAGGCTGGTCAGGAGAGGTCTGCCACGCCATGTGGGTCACCTCCACGGCTGGCGGGGATCGTACTCACCAGGGAGAGCCAGTTTCATTGTTTTTACTGATTTTTTTTTCACTTATTGCAGCTTATCTCAAAATGTATGACTTAAAATGGAAAATTCTGTATATCTATACATCTTTGTATTTCCCAAAGATGAAATCTTGAGAAATATTGACATTTGATTAAGAAGTGCCGGGGGATAGAGAAAAAATGTAGGAGAAAGTGGCTAAGAAAGTAGCCTTTAGAATTAGGGACATTAGAATAGATTGAATCTAGGAATAAAAACAAAGGTTTACTTCAGGCCTAAGTGCTTCAGGAAGTCACTGTAGTAGTAATAAAAAGTATGTTCTAGAGTCAGCAATGCTAAGTATAATTCGGGTACCTATCACCCTATAATTGTGAGATTGGGCAACCAAATCAACCTTATGGGATTTGTGTTTCTGCATTGATAATACAGGGATAATGTATATTATTTCATCAGAATTATGAAAATTAAGTGTTTGGACATTGGGAAATAGTGCTATCATAAATTAGCAACTGACACACAAAAACAACAAACAAGACAAAATCTAGACCTAAGATGAAAGTAAATAACAGACAACTTGGTAGCTCATTTTTCCTAATATGTTAAAAAATTTTTTGGCTAATATTCTCTTCTCCAAAAAAAAAAAAAAAAAAGGTATCCCAAACTTCTGAATAATAATTCTATTAAAGTTTTCACTAAATTCTTCGAATTGTAAACTGAGGAAAAAAGTGTTTCTTTGAAAACCGGCATAGCATAAGTTGAACCTCTCCTACCTCTGCCAGTAGAGTGAGGCTGAAACAGGCATGTTTGATTTTGGTATGGTGCATAAATAAATCCTGTCCACAGAGGTCCCAAGAGTTCACTCAGAGTAGCTCTGTCACTAATGATAAACAAAAAACAGATGCTAAAGTGGAATGAACAGCTCTGCTAAGTCATCAATGGGGCTTTATAAAGAAGAAATTGGAAACAAAGCCCAAGTACCTGTTCAAGCATGTAAAGCCTGCAGAGACATTGAAAGCGAGGGCATTTTTCTTACCCACATGTATATTTGGTAGTACTAAGACATTTAAATCAGGCCTTTTTTTTTTTTAGATTTATTTATTTGTGCATACAGAACTGGGGTACAGGCCAGAGGCTCAGGGGCGGCGAGAGGCTTCACCAGAGACAGAGTGGAGAGCAGAACAGGCAGATCGACGAAGTACACTGCTGAGAGGAGCAGCGGGCGGGCCAGGAGAGATCTGCCTCGCCATGTGGTCACCTCCGGGGCAGGCGGGAATTGAACTCATGTGGTAGCGGCTTTAGCTTCTCAGTGCTATGCTTTAACCCGCTGCGCCACCAGGGATGGCCTAAATCAGGCCTTTCTAAGATCTAAAATCAAACTAGGGAAAGTGCCTATGGAGCTGTGGAACTGATTAGGACTTTTTCATCAAAAAATTATTACCATTGCATTAGTTTAATCTTCGATATCATTCCTATTGAAGCAGAACTTAACTTCATCTTATTTTACAATGGTGAAAATGCAAACACGTTAACCAGGTAGGAAAAGGATTTCTGAGGGGACTCACACACTCTCAGACATACATTTACAGTTAGATAAGGTCCTTAGACAGTTTCTGAATTTCTTGTAGGTACCAGAGACATATAACAAATCTTGGGAACAGGAAGGGGAATTAGTTAAGATCCCTACCCTTGAATGGTTCATGGTCTAGGGGGTTAGTGAGTGAGATAGACACCAAAACACATGACTTGTACTAGAAGTGGTAAATATGTTTAGAGTTATAGAATTATAAAGGAAAAGCCAATTTTAGGAGGTTTTCTGAAATATGAAATACCTGAATTTATTCACTGGAAGTTGAAGAGGTATTAGCTGGATGAGGCTATGTGACTAGGGGCACTTAGTGGTGGTGACCTACTAGGCAGAGGAGCAGAGTGAAACTGTACCATCATACTACATGTGGTTGGATGTTGACAGGGTAAAGCCTAAGATGGGAGCATGCTGGGGAAAAAATGGAGAAGGAGAGAGTGGTCATATGTTATCCGTAGTGGCCATAGGTAGAGAAGATATATAATGTTAAGTATGTTGGTTTTGTTCTTGTAAGGGATGGGGAAACTGGAGTTTTTAAGAGAGTACCATGCTCAGATTTACATTTAATATATCACTATGGTACCAATTTTGAAATTGGATTTAAAAGTTCTGAAGGGAAGGTCCTTCCTGGTGGTACAGTGGGTTAAAGTGCAGCACTAAGAAGCTAAAGTCACTTCAGATGTGTTCGATCCCCACCCTGGAGGTGACCACTTAGCACTGCAGACCTTTCCTGACCCGCCCGTGACCAGCCTGTTCTGCTCCCCACTCTGTCTCTGGTGAATCTTCTCATTGCCCCTGCACCTCTGGCCTGTACCCCAGTTCTGTGTGCATAAATAAATAGATTTAAAAAAAGTTCTAAAGTGAAATCAGTTAAGAAGCTATTGAAATGATTTATGGAGAATAGAGGCCAATAAAACAGGAGGTACATACGTTAAAGACTGAATGAATGTAACATTCAGTAAAACAGTGTTTTAGAGGAAAGAGCATTATTTAACAGGTATAGATGATAAATTCAGTTTTAAGCTTGTTAGGACTATAGTATTTATGAGCCCATCCCAATAGTTAGATCTAGCAAGCATGAGAGAGGTCCAGGCTAGTCATAAGCCATTCCAAACCTTCTGAATACACATAGTAGTCAAAATATGAGAAAGAATGATCTTACCTAAAGATTACACTTCAACAGTGAGTGCTTGCTACATGACAGACAATGTTCTAGGCTCAATGGATGAAGTTGAGAACAAAACAGACGGCTCCCACAGATCATGGATTCTCTAAGCTAGATCAGGAAGAGTGTTGGGACAGTGTAGTTAAGATCTCAAAGTTGTAGCCACTGAGTATAAAGTACACTTAGGAGACTTTGGATGAGAAATGAAAGAATGAAAGAGAAAGGGTAGAAATTAGAAGGAGAGGGACATTTAGTCTAGAAATCTTGAAATCTATCTTTAAACTTTGCCTCCTTTCTATAATTTTGTTATCTAGTCATTGGAGAACCTGCCTTTTCTTCATTTTCTATTGCTGTCTCTCACTATTTGCCTTTAGTTTGTGATCTAGCTTCTCAGACCAACTGAAGTTCGCTCTACTCTTGTTTTTTGCCTAATAATCCATCCTAGCCATTACTGCCAAAATAATTTTGCTAAAGAACATTACTGTGCGTGTTACTCCCCTGTTCTAAAGGGCATAGGGGCTTTTCCTGTGTCAACCACATTAAGTTCAAACCCATTAAGCTGGTATTCATTTTTCTCCACATTATGGTTTCAGTCATGTTTCTCTTTAACATATACCCTCAGCTCCAGTCAAAATGACTTGATCACGTTTCCCAGATTTAATTTTTTTCCCACCTTCCTCATTAATTCTCTTTAAATTAGTCCAACATTATAGACCTTTAAAATCCCTATTCAGTCATCTTCTTCATAAATCTGTTTTCAATATTCCTATACAGATTTTATCTTTTGAAATATTTTTTCTGTAGTGATCTTTTTTGTGTTTAGATACTCTTTACTATGCTTATAGTCTCTATTTCAAGATCTATGAAGAAAATGAAGGACATATTTAATGTTTTTATTATCAGAGTGTTCACAGACCACACAGTAGTTGTTTAAAACATGTTTGATAAATGTGTTTAATTTATCTGGATATAAAACTATGCAGTTTTTAAGCTCAAAATAACCTTAGAGATGATAAAACAAGACCCTTTTATTTTACAGATGAAAAAAATTGAAGCTCAAAGTGTGTGACTTGCCCACATTACATGACTGGTGAGGGACAAATAGTGCCACAAATCCTGTCTCCTGACTCTCAGGCCAGACCTCTTTCCATTTCATGACAGCATCTGTTTGTGGAGCTGGAGTTGAGTCACCATCCTTGTCATTGTCCCTGGCCCTGGCACCAGCACAAATATTAAAGACATAGAGTCCTTTCTAGTTCCACACCTTTGTGGATTCACAACCCCAGATGCCCACCCAACTTACCAGACGAAAGAGAGAGATGGTGTTCCCAGTGATGTTATAGTGGGCCAGAATCTCAGAAGCAGTACTGATTCCAAATGACACATCTTGGAATTTTTGCACCATGCTACGGAATAAGGACACCACTGGTATTTCTAAATCCTAAAAGCAAGAAGACAAAACCCCACAGAAGTTATTTTTGAGGGGAGAGATACAGAAACGGAGCAGAGATTAGAAATCATGACCTTGATTTAGTGCCCTGTGAAACAACATTTTCCTCTAAAAAAGCAGGCTTAAATGTTGAGTTTTCTAGACTAAATGTGTTAATAAATAACTGCAAAATTGTGGCTAAGCTTGGGACATATGTTTAGCCTTACCATAGAACTCAGATTATTAGCAACTAAGCGGGAACTCAAAGAAACCTGCAGAATTGGATTGCACTGTCATTGATTTACCCAAGGACTCAAATATTTAGGAAGGTCAAAAGAAAAAAAAAATAAGAAGAAAACAAATTAAAACTGAAGCTTAGAAGTTTTATTAACAGAAGTTTGTACAAGGAGGAAGGACAGGCTGCCTCCCCAGATGCAAACCCTGGAGATACAGGGTATGCCTTGCTCCAGTTAGCTAATGGAGGCCTGCAAGAGGCAGCAGGAAAGTCCTTCTGATTGATGATTGCAGCCCTTCCCTAGAGAGTTGGCCTCATTTTCTGTGCTGTCACATGACATTTTCCTATAGCTCTAGGTAGTAAATTGGAGTGAACACATTCCTCCCTGACATCTCTCTGGACTGAAGGAGCACGTGGACAAAGAGAAAAGATCAGTAGCCTTGCGTCTGGGCTCAGGCAGAGGGAGTTGGTACCTTGCCTGTCTTCTTCTTTGGAAAGAATGTATGGCTTTTTTTGAGGCGACAAGAATTGCTACCCTTGACTTCCTCTGTTCCCTAGAATGCAATCGCTTGTGGATCAAGTGACGGCATCTGGTGGCTGGTGGAGTTATTGCATACTCCTCCAATTCTGCCTTCTTGTTTCCCCCTCCCTTTCTGAGAGTGGCTGATTTTGTCTATGATTTAGATTTCTCATCACTGAAAAATGTGCTCCAGATCTTCCTCTTCCACTTACATCTCATTGCGCCTACTTCCAGCTATGTACACAGAATCAACAGAGTGATGGGCAGTTAGAATTAATGAAGCAAACACATAAGAAGGTCTGCAACGAGAGAGGAGGGGCTTTCAACTGTGCAAATCTGGATGCTACCTCCAGAGAAAGGTGAAAATGCTGGAATGAGGTCCTCTCCCTTTATGGCTGCTTTTGTTAGTTAGATAGCCAACCTGGAAAATGGAGTCTAACATTTTTGCTATACTTTTTCAACATTTCAGAGCAGATAGAGTGAAAGAAGAATGAGAAGAACTTGGTTTATGAAGAGCTTTTAGTCAACTGACTGACATGTTGTCTGGATGACATAAGTTGGGTTTCCCCTGGCCCTAGCCCCAGCAATCTAGATACTGGCTAAACTTCAAATCATCCATCAATGAGGTAGCCCAACCAGCAGCAAGGTTGATAAAGACATAATTCAAGACTGGAACTGTCTTGAAATTGAGAGGTGTTGATTGGCAAATTGAACTGGACACAAGATTTTATGCCCCTTGGTTTCTGAAAATGCAGTGTCACCTTCCCAGCAGGTGTCTAAGATAGGATGTTTCTGGTTTTCTGGGAGAATGGCAAGTTGGGTATCTAGACAAACCTGGAAGAAGCCTATGACGGCCACCTCAGCAGCAGCAAGGAATTCCATGGCAGCCGGGACATCTGTGAGCCTCACTGGTTCTTGGGAGTCACCATCTGGACATTGAGGAGAATGAGAGAAATACTGACGATATTGGGTTACTGAGTGGAGAAGCAGCAGCCGTAAATAATGAGAGCATCTATAATTTTGTCTCCGTGCTAGAGCCAAGGCAATCTAGGGGTACTGTTAGCATTTTAAGGCTTTATTTTACTAACATATGGAGCATCACCCCACCATATGGTCTCTCTCTGACGCATAATGCCAGAATTTTCTCTATGAGGCTACACAGATCTTTATTCAGAATATCTGGAAAAATTCTTAAGAGAAAAAGTACAGAGAGTACTACCAGGTTTTCTGCCATTCTCTTAATTATATTTTCACCCTCTGGTCACCGAAGTGCTGTTTTCTTTTACCTGAGGATCCCTGAACTTCTGCTGCAACTTCCAGGAATAGCCAGCATGTGAAAAGAAACAATAGAAACAGGCATCTGGATGGGGAGGCTTCCATTATTGTCCTGCTCCTGTTCCTGCTCCAACTTTGTATTTGGGGGTGTTGATCCAGCGCAGCCCACTTGATGGTTAATTGACTATGGTGTGTTTAATTCTCTGGGAACTTTTCAGCTGTCTCTAGAGGAACCTTCAGCTTTCTGAGATAAAAGACCAAGTTCAATGACAGGTCCTCAGAACATAACCAACCAGAAGAAAGTCAAGTCTGTTTACTTAAATAAAAAAAGAAACATTCCATGCCAGATATTGATTGACCTGTACTAAGGATACAAGGAGAACTGTGGTTTCAGTCAGCCTCTCTCAGCTTAGTCTGTTAATGTGAGGAATAGAAAAACAAACATTTAATTATAAAGTGGACACTGAAAAAAAATGGAGAAACTCATAAAGTTCTCTGAAAGTTTAGACTAAGCGCATTTAAGATAATGATGCCTTCAGTGAAGACTTTCTCCCTCCAGGGAATGCCCAAGCAGAGTCCTGGGTAAATAAATTTGATTTTTCCAGGAAACAAAAAGGAAAAGAACCAAATCACAGAGCTGCAGATGTCATATGAAAGAATTACTAGCAAGTATTACAAAAGGATGGGAATAAAAAATATAAACTGAAAAAAATGCTGGGACTGATTGCAGCTTATATGCTTATATACTAAGCATAGGAGCCTCAGTTTTATGCTGTGATCTCTGGGATTCCATCCTTAGAGATCTTAAGCAGTCATATTTGGCCCATCAGTGCCATCAGTCCAAGAGAGTTCCACAGGCCATGGGATATATAGGTCTCAAGATGAAATGAAATTTTCTCATGATAATATTACATATAATTTAAATTGAGATTTTTCCATCATTTTATACTCAGAATATTCATTGCCCATTGAACAGAACAGGGTTCCAAACTGATCCCAGTGATACAAATACCTCCTCTATTGTGTCTTGCCCACGTCCTTTGAGAAAACCCATAGTGTCTATCATCCAATGGCCATAGTTGTTTAAGGGGAAAAAAGCAAAGAAATAAGATTCTCAGTCAGACCATACAACCATTTTATTCCATTTCTTTTGTGTGGCTTGCAGTGTCTCCCAGAAAAGAAGAACTTTCTTGCAGAGAATGTGATTAGGGGCCTTTATTGAGTCAGCAGCAAACACAGAAGATTCCAGGGATAGGAATGAGCTATGGGAAACCAGGATGAAAGAACTTAGTGGTGATTGGTCCACATCTTGGCCTTATCAGAATTGCTCCATGGGCATAAGAGCAAAATATTAAATGACTGTATTCCAAGAGAGAGAACTTTGAAAATGTGGCCATGATGGGTGGTTAGAAGGAGTGGGTAGTATTAAGACCTGGATTTTAAGCATCTTGTGCTAGCACTATTTTGAGAGACAACATGTGATAAGACACATCAACAAGAAAACACAGGGAGCTCGAGGGAAAGGAAACAGCTGTGAACAGGGAGGAGGGACAGGGCAATGACCAAGACATAACTGAGAGGGTTCTTCTAGGTGGCAAGGGCAGGGACAGGGATGGCAAAAGCACTTATTCTGTCCACTCTTTCTTAATGGACAGGTTCCACTCCCAGGTAAGGTGGTCATGCTTGTCATCATCAGTGAAGAAGGACTTGTTGTGGTAAGTGCCTCTGGCCAGCATGCCCTTAGGAGCCTCCTCCATAGGAGTCAGGAACTCATATTCTTCTAGTCGAGGTCCATAGCTGCCAACCATATATACCGCTTTATCCACTAGGAAGAAAGAAAAGTTCATTAGGGTAAGAGGCTGGTAAAAGAAAAAAGCCACACACTGGAAGATTTGGAGCACAGCTTATAGTGATCTAAGTCGAGATCAATGGTTTTTAAGCCTGGCTAAGTGTCAGCTTTACCAGGGATCCATATCAACATGCCTTTTAATAAAAATTTCCTTTCACCATCTCCCAAAAACTGGTTTTGGTTTTTACATAATCTGCCGTGGCCCAGAGAGTTTTCAAAAGCATCACAGCCGATTCTAGTATCGGGAAAGGTGGGGAATGTGCCTAAAACCAAGATGGGTCAAGATTCTTGGAGAAGTGGCAGATTATACCATAGGGAAAAAAATTCCAAACTAGTTGAGTCCTGAGTTACAAAGCCCTTTCTCTTTGTCATGAAGTCAAGGGTCTTCTATCTATAAGCTATCAGTCTACAAGCATATTGATTGGAGGTAGAAGGGTTAGAATGAACAGAATTCATGGATGTAATAATTGGATGGAAAAATAACTTGCTTAAAATAAAAGCAAAGAATTGGAACAAATGGTGAAAACAGATAACCAAATGTATTTATAGGTAATAACTGGGATATGTACTAAGAATGGGAGGGACTTGGTAATTATAGTAAAGGTAAGTAACTACAGACAGCATGTCATTGCCTGCTAACTGGGGTAAGTTTGAAGGAACAGCTGTGGTCACATCATTGTCCTCTTGCCTAAGTTAGGCAACATAGTCTCTATGTCCAAGACTGTTTTTTCTTGAAACTATGTATTGGACAGGTTGATTAAGATCTTTTAGGGCAGCATTCTTCTATAGGGTTTGAATAACTGAGTGGTTCTTCATGTTATACTAATTTATGAAAAAAAATTCTCCCTATCTATGTTTATAGATTTGTTAGAATTGACCTATTTATTACTGTTTCATATCTCAGGGGGAAGAAAGTCCCTCAGGTAAAAAGGAAATGGAGATCTTCTGTTATGTTTCTACTTTCACTTCTGCCGGTAGGAAAGGAGGAGAACCCAAGGCAGGTTCCCAAGGCATGTGCAATTCAGCTACAACTTAGCCAGTACAACTTTAGATGAAGTAATCATATGCTATTTATCTCAGTGGGAAATAGTATTTTTTTTCTATTAGTTTGTTAGGAAATCCCCCCTATCTGTCCGCTCAGTTACTCCCAGCTCCCATTCCCATCAGACACATATATATCAATAGGTTTTTCCTTTTCCTATTTTGGATTTCTTTGAACAAAAATTATGCCTGTGAAGTGCTTTTTTTTTTTCACTTTTGAGTTTGATTTTATGTACATTATTTCCTTTAAGCTTACCTTAGTTATTCTTCCCATTTATGAGTAATAAAGTTGGATTCCAGAATCTAAATGTGGAAGGTTAGTAGCTGACCCAGTCTAAACTAGGTCTCCGTAATGTAGACTTGTCATTAATATCTAGGTTAGAGTTATGCACCCTTTCCTAGTGTGAGTGTACTCAGCTTTTATCAGGTTCTAAACTGAGTCCATGACTAAAACTGTTAAGAACTAGAAGTTTAAGTAACAGTGAGAAGATGTTTGGGACAGTGTATAGTGTGGATCTCTTACCTTTCATCCCAGTCCGGTAGGTGTGCTGAACATATTTCAGGCCTGACACAATGTCCTTATTCACCTGTAGGTGGAAGGATCCAAGTAATTCAGATTAAAGAAGGTCTTTTCTTTTTCCTCCTCTTTCATGATGATCTTGCCTAGCTTAGTCTTCTCTGAGGAAAGAGGACTGAGATTTATTTCAGAGTAAATGTTATTATTACTGTCACTTAGTGTGGTAGTGAGGCAGAGACTGGAGATCAGAGACCATAAGTTCAATGTTGTCAATCTGTTTTTCTTTATTGAATGCTGTGATTTTTCTTTCTAGGGGTGGGGTTGTTCATTAAAACACTGAAGCATATGTTGCATTATATTTCTCCTTTCTCAATGACCCAAAGAATGGTTTTGACTTCCTCTCCCTGATAGTAGTATATAAAATGTTGTCCTTGTCTTGGGACAGATTACAAAGGTACCCATGGAAATTATTACTATGTAAAGATCTGAAAATCTTAACCTCAGAAAGGATCCACCTAGCATATGAAAAACAAATAACTGGGAGAAAAGACGTAGTGGAAAATCAGGTCTAGAAGATGGTTGTTCTTGTAATGTAGCTTTGATTGGAGACTACAGATGAGGGATGGCAACATAAAAACATCCTCCCCATATGTAAATAACTGGCGAAATCCACTTGTGTCTGCCAAGCGTTTTGGATCTCATTTCCAGACGTTGTCTGAGATCTTGCCACTTCCCCAAGCCTTTCAAAGAAAATTCACTAGAGCAGAATGAAAATATAGACAGACCAACCACTTTGTTTTTCCATGATTCATTTACCTAGGTCTGAACTGGACTGTCTTAATTTTATACAGTGGTCATGTCTATACAAACAAATTAAAATGGCCATTGCGTCACTAGCTAGAGAGCTTGCTTAATTGTTCATCAGTATGAAGAATTCAAGCACCCTCAAGTAATTTATCCTCAATAATAATTATAACTCCCCCCTTTTATTGAGAAAATAAACTAATCTATCAGTGTTACAATTTGTCTATTGGTAATGAGGTAGCATAGCAGTGAACACTGCCAGTTTATATTCCAGACTGTTACTTGGTAAAATCTGAAGTACGAAACTATTGAAAGTAGACAGAATGAAAACAGCTTCATGGAGGAAACAGTGATAAAATAAAACCCAAATTTTCTGATTACTCTTCCTCCCTCAGGAATAGGGGAAATGAATGCATCATTCTAGAGGTCTCTAAGCTGGTTCCTTGGATTGGGCAGAAGTTTGGTGGAAAGAAAAAAAGACCTAGTAACAGAATAGTGGTGGGTATAAAGGCTTCAAAATAGCCTCCTTTCTCTATCTTATGGAAGAATACATTTACTATAAATGTGTGCAAGGATTAAAAAGATGAATATGCATAGCATTCACTTCCTTTGTCTGTCTGCTCCTCCCATTACTTCTTCGATGCTCACAGGAAGAAGCCTTGGTGACATGAACAAATGGGAGAACTGTGGAAGTCAGATATACTACATTTTCTTGATAGGCAGTAGGAAAAGATAAAATAACCCTCCCAGGCCAAATTTTGGCGAGTGTTATAAAGTTTGGGGGGATAAAGAGAAGAATCCTTAGAGCATTTGAGAGATAATGAAAGAGAATATTGCTGGTGCTATAAATGTGAACTCCCTTGGACATTATTCAAGAGTTTTTAGTAAAAATTTAAGTTACTTCTCAAATGTCTTCTTCAGTTTGAGCTGGCATTTTTGCTGGGGTACCTTTACGTGGGCCGTAGGGTGGTTCAACTTTCTGTGGATTATATAGAGAGTGGCTTTTCTTCTGTTAGAGACAAGGCCAGATCTCTGAAATAAGATTTGAAAACTCCTTTCTGAGTCCACTTTCTCCATTCCCTTAGTGTGTAATCCTGATGATTACACACCAGTGCTGTCTTCGACCTTCCTGCCCAGAGCCGAAAATCATGTTCCAGGCTTTTTCTTCACATCTTATTCACATAAAAGTTTGCTAGTCATGTTACATTTGATAAAAACTGGCTTACTAAATCGACAAACTAGGACAATAGCATTAATGATTTCAATTTGGACTAATGAGTAATACATTCTAGGCATATTTGAATGCAGTTCCTTACCAAACACTCTCAGGCTCTTCAGTAATAAAGTACTACAGGAAGTAAGTGAACCATAGTTCAGTGTCTATTATAGAGAAGGCATCAACAAATATTTTTGCAATGAAGCTTTTTTAGGCATGTTTGTATGTGGTAGAGAGTGATTGTTCATGGAATCACACCCTATACTGTGGAAAGAAGGGCACAGTGTACAAATTGAGGGCAGGTGGGGTCTTCCATCTGGAGAACAGACCCTGGAGGATATGACTGAGTGGGAATGAGGGACAAGCCAGGCAAACATAAACAACTAAAAGCAAACAATAAATTTCTGCCCTGTTTGTTTTCCAAGTCAAGGTTACTTTACTTTATGGTTTTGGCTACTCATTGAGTATGTGTCTATTTAGTATATGTCAGTTTATCTCCTATTTGTTTTTTTATTTTACCTGGTCACCTGCTCTATAACTATAAATGTTCCTAAAGCATTTGAGATTTTTAAATTTTTTTTAAATAAAATTTTATTGATTGACCACTAATTTATGATACTACATCTATTTGACGAGTACAGCTTCACGTCTATTTTGTTATAAATCTCATCTTATCCACCACATTCTCATGATCAAGTTGACTCTCCTTACCCTTTTCTTCCTTCCCCCCTCCATAACTATAATTACTACTTCCAGTTATTTACCAAGGACCACATTGTCCAGATTTATCTAATTACTGAGCAATTAGAGTTGAGGTTGTGTCTTTTATATCTTCCTTTTCTATTGATTCATTCATTATTTATTTCTCAACAAAATTTCCCTAAATCTCCCTTGTTTGCAAAGTGTTGTGTGAAATATTGGAGAGAGGGACCACGATAGTCTTTTTCTGTCCCATGGTGCTTTTCTGTGCAGGAGAAATGACACCAATGGTACAAGACAGCAGTGTGTGCCTAGTGGGGGGTGAATGTGAGTAGTTCATGGAGAGTCGAATACCACTGTTATTCATGGGAATAGCTGGGAAAAGGCAGGAAGCAAGGGTGAGTTGCAAAGGTACAGTTCAGGAGAAGACAGTCCTAATCTAAGGGAACAAAAGAAACAAGCAGTATACTAACATGGGAATGGGAGGAACTTGACTTTTTCTTTCCTTGTTGATAGAGAGAATTTAAACATTATAAAAACATACAGGGCAACAGATACTTACTTTGAAATGAATTTTGACTCTATATTCAACACCTTCTTTGAGCACAAAAGTTTCTTTTTTGAAAGCTTCAAGATCCCCTGTAGAAGTGAATTTGGAAAGAGTTTATTCTCTTCAGAAGGAGAAACACAAGAAGATGAATGAAGTCCTTGCTCCAGAACCATTTGCTGGCCCCGTCATAACAATGTGGTCTAGATGGCTCTCAAGTCAGAGTATTTGAGATTAATTGCTGCACACACCACACTTGTAATTCCTGAGATTTTTATAACCAGAAGAAAGAAATGTGATAGACCTTTTCCCCTAAGTTTCATGACAGCCCTAGAAGTATAATCAGCATTAAGTTATATGTAAAAATAAGACTTTTATTGAGATATAATTTACATATAATTTATTTTCAGGTGTATGACATAATGACTCAATATTCCTATAAATTTTGAAATTATCACCACAAGTTAATTAACATCCACCACCATATGTTGTTATAAAAAATATATTTTCTGGCCCTCCCTGGTGGCACAGCGGGTTAAAGCACTGCACTGAGAAACTTAAGCCACTTCTGCATGAGTTCGATCCCTGCCTGCCCTGGAGGAGATCCACATGCGAGGCAGACCTCTCCTGACACGCCCGCTGCTCCCCTCAGCAGTGTACTTCGTCGATCTGCCTGTTCTGCTCCCCACTCTGTCCCAGGTGAACCCTCTCACCCTCCTTATCTCTGGCCTGTACCCCAGTTCTGTATGAATAAATAAATAAATCTTTAAAAAATGTGTTTTCTAATGGTCAATAGTAAAAGCAAAGTTTTAGCTTATCAACCTAGAGGAAAGTTTGAATTATCTTTTTATTTATGAAAATGATATTACATATATGTGGTCAAATGAAGAGGTGATTAAAGAGTCGCCCTACCGTTACGTAAAGAAATATAACAGAAATGTATTGGAGTAGTAATTATTGTTTTTGTAGATTTGGTAATGCTTGTAGTATTTTCTAGTTTAAGTTACTTGTTTCTGTTTCCTTTTATTATTCTAAATAATCACTTTTGTTCTTAACTTTGCACTTGCCTTTGTATTTTCATATTCTTTAAAGGAGAGTCACTTAAATCATATACGTTTCAGACTCCATAAAAACAGGATTTACCCTTATGTCTCTTAACTTGATTAGAGAGGAAATCTTTCTCTGTTCTCCTGTTTGATCCAGTGTGATTTGACATTCAAGTTCATATGTATGCTTTGTATAGCTGTTTATACATTTTTTTTGCACTGAACTGGTACCAACATGAGGTAAATATGTATATAAAGAGAAATCTATATATCTCATATATTTATAAATCATATGTATATATAGAGACATAATTATCTATCCATCTACCTATTCACCTACTTATCTATGATTTAATTCTATAGCTTCTTTATGCCTGAAAGGAGGCAGAGACCAAGTTTTCCCTGCAATGGCCTCGAGCCCCTTTGAACAGATTTTTGTGTGTGTGCTGTTGAGACCTAATCTTGATGCTGACAATTGTACCTGGTAGCTTTACACAATCACACAGGAAGCAGACTGAGTTCTGGGGAGAGAATTTTTCTCCTGTAGAGATGCTAGAAAGGGGGTAGTTAAAATAGTGTGTTTTGCTCTAATGATTTCAGTTGAACAGGAAGTGCGTCTTCTCAGCCTCTGATTTCCTCCCTCTGACAAAAGCCCATATAAGGTAGAGAGTGGATCTGTTTTATGTGAGAGGAACTACCTTGCTGCTGAGTCTACTCTTCGAGAATTTTTGTCTTGCTTTGTCTCTCAAGACCATCTTTTAACTTAGTAGCAATTTATTTTCATTAAAGATCTGCCTTTATGCCCATGAATTCCTAGTTCTATGGTCCTTTCCTTATTTCTCTTAGAGGTTCCTTTCCCTCAAAAAGATGAAAGAACATAACATTTTTTTGTTTGCACATTTTTAATTTGTACATGTTTTTAGTGTGTGTGTGTGGTTTGGGGGGGGAGATTTCTTTATTTGACAAGAATCAGAGCCTTAGGCTAAAGTTACAAGTAAGTGACTTAGAATTCTCAACATTCTTCAGGGGGCCTTAGATTACTTCTTATCTTCAGGTAAGTTCTACAGTTGATAAAAATCAATGTCCCCCACCCCCTTTTAATTTTGGCATAGAAGAACTGGGCCAGAGGTACAGGCCAGAGGTACGGGGTGGGGGGTGAGACAAAGATAGAATGGGGAGCAGAAAAGGTGGATTTAAATATATGACTAAGTGGAGCAGTAGGTGAGACAGGAGAGGTCTGCTGCTCCATTTGTTGGTTAGTTCCTTGGCTGGGGATCAAACTCAGTCTGAAGTAGTGATAGTACTTTGACCAACAGGGAGGCCCAAAAGATCCCAGAAGTATACAGTTTGCTTCTTAATGTTTCTATTAAAAGTCTTTTCACATAAATAGTAATAAAAAATCTAGAGTATGATACAAATAAATATATTCAATACTTACGGCAGCATACTCTTTAATTAAATGGAGACAGAGAATAGGCTTTTCATTAAGCTCGGTGAATATTGTGCACCCTGAGAGCAATTATTTGTGAACTGGCCCTGGGATTTATGTTAGTCGGGTTTCCTTTGGCCAAATGAGAGAAAGGACAGATACCAGATTATCCCAGTAATATAA